AGTTAATACTGAATGGTTTAAAGGGAACCAAATTATGGATAATAATGGAGTATTTGGGCGGAGGTTCGGCTCTGGATCTGATGAAAGCGGGACACTTCGAGGAGATGCACATTGCGGTCATACTTCGGGAAGTGCTTAAAGGATTGGATTATTTACATTCCGAACGTAAACTTCATCGAGACATCAAAGGTATGTGTGATATGTGTCCACAAAGTGTCAGATAATCTGCAATAATGTGTTCAAAACAGCGGCCAATGTGTTGCTGTCAGAGATGGGAGACGTAAAGTTGGCTGACTTTGGGGTCGCCGGACAACTGACTAACACGACCAGCAAAAGGAGCACTTTTGTGGGAACTCCCTTCTGGATGGCACCCGAAGTCATCAAACAGTCGGCATACGACTCGAAGGTTGCTTTCACTCCAATCATGTCACCAATGAATAGGCTTTTAATCACTTGTCAATTGTCTATCAAAGGCTGACATTTGGTCGTTGGGTATAACCGCCATAGAGTTGGCCAAAGGCGAGCCCCCGAACTCTGATTTGCATCCAATGCGAGTCCTATTCCTCATCCCTAAGAACAATCCGCCACAACTGACCGGCAATTATAGCAAACAATTTAAAGAGTTTGTTGAGTCGTGTCTTAATAAAGATCCCGAAAATGTAAGTCATATGCGAAGTGATATAAATGGAGTACTAATTGCTTGTGTCTTATGCTTAGCGTCCGTCAGCTAAAGAGTTATTGAAATTTCCATTCATTAGAAAAGCAAAAAAGAATTCATATTTAATAGACTTAATCGAGAGATATAAGCGCTGGAAAGCCGCCGGAGGCGGACATAGCGATAGTGATTCCGAAGCATCCGATTCGTGAGTTTAGAGCTTTGAGTCTAATTTACACACAATTTCTCTAATATTATATTTTATATGAAATCCAGTGATGAATCAAAAGGAACTTCAAGTGTCGACAGTTTAATATGGGATTTGACTATAAGACCGCAACACAACCCTAATGCACTCAACAAAATGTATTCCGAGTCTATTTGTGAACCTAAGGGTCAAGATAGCGATGAAATAGTGTTAACACGAGATATAACTAAAGTGTCGGTCACTCCCAAGAAAAGTGGTCACTCCAACGGAGACTCCAAATTTGTTTCCGATGTCACACCCAAACAAACGCCTCAATACAGGGCTTCGGGAGACAAACAGTCGATTAATGAACAAAAGACACCTAAGTCTTCAAACGTTGTAAGTATTGTTTTATAATTTCTTAAATGTCAACCAAATTGGTTTTAGCCATTATTGTACTGTATGTTTGCATGTGCTCTCAATTCCTTGTTCGCATATCTCTCTCCTCTCTCTCTCTCTCTCTCTCTCTCTCTCTCTCTTTGCCTATATTATCAAGTACAATAATGTACGGTAAACTGTGTCTCTATTAGTTATAATAGAATTAGAGACGGATGTGTCAGTAATTAATGAGTGAACTAATTATAATATAGAAAACGACAGCAAATCAGATAGAAAAGGGACTCAAAGAGATAAAATCTGTGACAAAATCAAAAGAAGATAAGCATTTGAATGAAAGGACTCACAATCGGTCTGAAAACGAAAGTTTGGTCAGCAGTCAGATTCACGATCATAAGAGTAAACTAGTGGCCAGTTCTGACATCAGAGACCGTGAGGTTCGGCCATCGAGTCATACCAGCAGTTCTACGACAAGTAGTTCACGAATCCCGAAGTCTCGCAGTAGTGACACTCCGGTGTCCAGTAAACCGAGTCCCATATCGCCACCATCGATGCCAAACTCACACTCACCCCAAAGTGCTATTATTCCGGTTCTCAATGAGGTATAGCTTTGATTGATATGGTATTGAAGTGAATGAATATATCTAATGAAATGTTGTGATGTATGTGAAGATTGCTCACCGCTATAAGCGTCAGAGCGGCGGCGGCGCTGATCTCCAGAACTCCAGAAGCAATGCCATCGAAGAGCTAAAGCTAGCGTTTGAGAGCGCAGAGGACTCGTGTCCCGGAGTGAGCGACTATTTGGTCAAAGAGATGGTTGTCAACCTGACGGGTCGACCACTGGTGAGTACAGTGCCTCAACCACATCATCATCATTACCAACACTATTCACAATTACCACATCAACACCAGAGGAAGTACGAGCACTCGACGCCATACCGCATGAATGCCAACTTCAGTTGAACTGATTTCATATAACTTAAGGCAACTATTTTTGATGGTTTTGTTAACAAGTTCTCAAATCTTCTCCAATTAATAACATTTAAAAACAGAATAAATTTATTTTAATGAAACGTTATTTTAATACAATATAACGAATAGTTTGAACAAATAGTTATACATATGTTCTGTATTTTATGACTAAAAACTAGATGATAACTTATGTAACATAAAGTATTAGTGCTATTAATGTCGAGTATTTTATTTAATTATTAGATTAAGTGTAGCTTTAATTAAATTAAATGATTTCACCTCTAATTGGTTTAAGGGTTTAATAAAAAGATTTTGAAATACTTTTTCAAAAAAGAAACAAGTTTTTAATTATTTAATATTTATTGCTGTTATTACAGTAAATTAATTTTAAAACTAATTTTAAAGTACAGGATTACAACTACAGTATATTCACAAAACCTTCATTACAATTGATTTATGCGAACAAACAGTTGGCTTATTAATAATATTAATATTTATAGATGTTTTCTGTGTCTGTAAATATGTTTATTGTATTCATTAAGTGCATCACTAGATCCATATGTCAGAAGTGCAGTCCCCGCCCGGGTATCTCATCTCATGAGCCAAAACAGGTCCGAACTCTTCTTTACCAAAATCAACCAAAAAGTCCTGATTTATAGATAGGCCTCCCTTTTCAACGTCAACATCAATCATAAGCATAACTAAATTGTTAAATAAACCGCAATTTTGTTAAACAATTTGCAATATTTTCTAATGCAATATAAATATAATCTGTGATAAATTTAAGTTAGCAATTAAAAAATCATTAAAGTTAGTACGAAAAATATTTAAAGCATTCATAAAACAATATAATTTAAGGAATCTCTGACTTTTGAGTAATAATTGATAATAAAAATACCTTAAATATGTTTTTATGAACTTTTATGAAATGTTAAGTACAGTACTCTAAATATTTATATGCTTATTATGATTAATACTGTACACCTATTTATGATAACTTAAGAATTCTCTCTCATACATATCATAAGTTAAGCTCTAATTTTATGGAAATTAATCATTTTATTAGAATCAGATTATCAGACACTACTGTTCCAGGAATGCCTTGATTTCGAGTATTCTTTCCTAATGTTATAGAATTATTGAGATTATTATTTTGACTTTTCTTTATGCTAACGATAATAAGTGAATATAAGTGTAAGTAAATAACTTAATGAATAAAATGTATTAATGTATTGAATGGTAAAGGACGCTAACCCGAGCCCTCGGCCACCATAAGTGGGAAAAATTGTTTGTCCCAAACGCTGTATAAAGAATTTGTGACATAAAGTCTTTTGCCGTCGAGACTCAACTGAAGCATTTGTGGACCGCCGACGATATGTTTTTGCTGAATGCAAACGCGTGGCGGATCACCATCTATTGTGGTGCTGCCAACCTCTCGCACCTGACTATTATTGCTTATAATGCCTCCAAAAGAGCACTTCCCGACCAAAACAGGTGACGATGTGTTGGAAATATCGTATTGTCTTATTTCTCCGAAGAGCCACAAACTTACATAAAGATATCTATCGTCCATAGAGATTAAGATATCGGTAATGAGGGCCGGCATATCATCTAATAGCCAACCATTGACTTTCTTCGTGGGAATACTTAGCACTTTCTCTGTTTCCCATTTG